TAAATAATAATACTAATAATAATAATAACAATAATGTCCTATCATATGCAACCTAAACGAAGTTCATAATACCAAAATAAAAAAAATAATCATATTGTCCCAGACCACCTTATTAATTATTTAATAGTTAATGCACTTTTACTAAAGCGTTGATAGTCGCAGTCAAGTCGATAAAAGGGAAATTGTTCCAGGTGCGTCTGTGCTTCATTTTATACAATGAGAAATGCAAAGATGATTTAAAAGTACGGGCAGTAGCAAGCAAAAACGCAAACGGAAGAGAGGGAAACTGACGTGTTTAGTTTGTAATTGCTTGGAAAACGTTGATGCTATGAATGCAGAAATCCAAGCAGCAGTTGTATTTGCTGAGCGCCTTGGTGTTGATGTTCAGAGTGATTTGCAACATCATCATCGCCACAGAAAACCACCTGGCAGACACGATGAGAACCAGTCAAATGCTGTGTCGTTTAACTTGGCCTGGAGTCTTTTTTTTTCAAGGCAGTGTTGGACACTCAGATCCAATCTCGTTCCCCGAGCCTGCGATCCTTGGGAAGGAAACGAAGGCTCTGGGATAATCCATGTCAGAAATGAATATGATTGGTTGCTGGTATACAATGGAATGTTGCAATTTTGCAAAAATTAATTTTTAACCGTATATTTTTACATACAACATGGCGGCCGTTTAGGAGTGTACGAATATTGTTTTGGTGTTTCAGAGCTGTGCTGTATACTAATACTACAAAAGAAATGCAAAGAAACGTATACTTAATGCGTATAATATCACAACAATTAAATGGAGCGTGAAAACTTTACTCATATTTGTGTTGTACAGGTTTTCTGTAGTTTTAATCTATACATAGTATACAGTACTGTCAGTACACTGTACTATTTGAATATAATATCAAATATGTGCTATATTTTGCAAATACTATTTGTGTCAGAAATGGTTAATAACTTTTATTAATTTGTCTTTGTGTTATTTAATTGCGAAGAACTAGCTAATGACTAGTTTCAATAAATCCAATCTTGGGATTTATATTTTATTATTTAATGTATATACTGTACTGTAAACTTTCCAAGTGCAGGAGTATGTAATACTCATTTTAACTTGTAGCATGTAACCTTTCCCTATATGGGTACATGCATATGAATCTTTTGTTGTTATAATTTATTTATAGAAGTGTTCAAAAAACCTTTATTCTCTAAATAAACCACAATTTCGTAGGCAGTGATATTAACTTGTATTCCAGTCTGCATACACCTAATACATACAATGAATTCTTGGGTTTCACTAGGCATTTTGCACGTTCTGACGTGGGGTCAACCTAAAATGTATTGATGCTTATGCTGTACTGGAGTGAGCAAATGATATGAAATTGCATGTATTTGCCACCAAACACAAGGCCAACACATACAGTGAAAAATTAATTCACTCTGATGACTGTGTCTCGATTTAGAGTTGACCCCCCCCCCCGTCAAATTTTTGACGTCATATGAAACACAATAATATACAGTATAATATTACAGCTAACTGTAGCAGAAAGTATTTAATAATTTAAATTTATTGAGTAGTACAATATGCCAAATTGGCAATCCCTTTATTAATCTTGTCCACACAGTAATTCAAAGTTCTAAGCTCTGTACGAGGTTGTATTAATTGGATTCTGTCCAAGAAAACATCATAAACCTTTCATCCAAGTATGAATTCCAGATTGGGAAACCATATAAATATTTTTAATAAATTCATATACTTTTTTAAAGAAATGTTCTATTCACAAAAATATTAAATGATAGTGATCAGCCACTAAATTATACCAGAATTCATTTTCATCAGCTTCCCCCTGTTATGACCCCGTGCAGGGAACCACCTAGGGTGCAGGTATAATTTTGTGATGAATGATAAAAAATTGCCCAATGTAAATGCCAAGCCATAGAAATATTTTTATTACCATGGTCATGACAACTACCCTGTCAGTTTGATTGCAATATCAAAACTTGTTATTTACACTATAAAACAACACATCTACTCTGAAAAGGGGCAACAAAAACTCAGTTTTTTCCATTCCTATCCAATTCAAATCATGCTGGCCACGAAAACAATTTCCTGATTGCCGATACAATAAATTGCCAAATGCCTGACAATTTGGGCCAGCGACGCCCCTGAATGCTACAATGATAGCAACCTCTATTGCTATTACATCTCCAACCTTGAATGTCCTATTTAGTACAGTAGTTAATTAATTAATGGTAGTAATCAACCTGAAGTCAAGTACATTTCTGGCCATTGGTGAGAAATATTGTCCAGAAGTACAGTGAAATAACAAAAAAGGTGCACTAAGAGCATTGTGGCTTAATGATCTAATGAGATAATTAACCAAAGATAGCTGGTAGACATGCAGATGGACTGGTTAACCCATTCAAATACCAATATCAAAGTCCAATACTTTCCCCTTGACGAGAAAAAATTCTGGCATTAAACAGCTTAAAATAACAAAGTAGGGCAAACTGAGGCACATTGCAGCTTAACTTGCTCCAACTCTATCATTACAAACTGTAAATCTTTAATAGTAAAATTCCTATCCAGACACAAAATTTGGTTAAAATTCAATAATTTGAAAAATGCTGTTGCATCCCTAACCTACTAAACTGCTTGCAAATATTAAAGGAAAGCTATAAGGGCAGTTAAAAAATATAACAAGGATTTGGTTTATAAATTGTTAATTTCTAGAGATGATAACACAATACAAACATGGAATTCACTATATTCATATTTTTAATGATATGTTTTATAGTCTAAATTCCTTTTAATATTCCTCTGATATACAAATCTTCTGAAAACTTTAATATTATCAAGGTTTATAAACGACTTAATATTAGAATTGAGACTCTTCAGGTATTTTAATACTACAGTAGCAATTAATACACAGTACATTGTAATTGTTTTTGTTCTTGAAAATTGCCCTTTCCACGCGCTCTTTCAACCATTAGAAACATAATAGCGTTAAACGGCTAAATTATGCTGGAGGAACCACAAATGTCTCTACATTTAAAGCTTTTTCAAACTGACACAGAGGTAAATGGACAAGATTACAATTAATTGTGACATTTTTCTTCGACAACAGCACTCTTCGCGGCTCCTGCCGGCTCTATACTGACCCTGTTTCACACGCAATATTTTCCTTATTCAGTCGCTAACACACCTTTTGTATCCCACTATGAAGAACATCAACATTTGCACCAAAACCCCGAAAAAATAATCATTTTATAGACGAAACAATAAAATATTTCAAACCGATTTGTTTTGCTTTTGGCAACGCATGCGCAGTTCGGTCGACATACAGTTTTCTGTATGTCTGAGATGGATTATCCCAGAGCCTTCGTTTCCTTCCCAAGGATCGCAGGCTCGGGGAACGAGATTGGCAAAGACCCTGGTCGGGGCTGGTCATGTGACCCCGCAGATTCTGCGTGGTAAATTGAATTGATCTCAGGGAGGGGTGATAGAGGAGTCTGTTTGTTACGTTTGGAAAATTGCAATTTTATGTGTTATAGTTTCGGGTGATAAAAATGTAATTTGCAACAAGAAATCGTGAAAGGAACAGTTTTAAATTCGTATTCATCATGACACAACTTCCTGCTATACTGAATGTCATCAATAATAAGTGTTGCGGTACATTTCAAGCAAGAAGCTGGATCATATTTCACTTCCAAGGACCCCACACGCGCCTGGCTTGCGAAGTTGAGCACGCATCGCCGTAGAAACATATATGTCTTCCCAATTCTATACCGACTGATCGATCAAACGATACTAAATGAACGATATGGTTGTTTATTGTTGAAGTGTATCCTATCCGATATTCAACAAAGCCAAAAGATTTATTTTATAATGGAAGATTTCCCAAACATCGCTAACTGTGTGTGTAAACAATAGTGCTATCTTGACTGTGAAAGCACAGGATTAAAACCCGTTATGGACTGTAAAATTTCTTTCATTTACATTGCTGAAACTCAACGATCAAGAATGATTATGTCGAAGACTCGAAGTATAGCTATCTGTCATCAGACGAACACCGAGACTCCACTGTGCGTTCCGTGCGTGCGGTACATATAACTTGAATATTTAGGACGATATATGCACCAGATTGCACCAGACACTGGTATTGTACTTCATAGTAAATTATTTCATATTTTGTGTATTACAGTAACTGATTTACAGCAGGTACATTAATTTATAAACCTTATAAAACCTTTCATTCCCATTGCCCATTCAGGGCTTTATATTTGAAGAATAACCCGACAGCTTCTTTCTACTTGTATAATGCTGCTGTGAGTCATCAATATTTAAACAACTTTAAATAATCTTTATCGTATACTGTATAAATGACATTTTAGCAGTTTCACCAAACCATACGAGAGGCAAACAACCTATCTATCAATGGAAACTTTAAAAGGCTTATTAAAACTTATTAATTAAGTAATTATATGAGCTGGACTTCGTGCGCATATATACAATTTATGAATTATGTATATATATCCCTGATAAAACGTAGGGACACTTTATACCAGATATAATAAAAAATACTTTGCTAAACCTTTTCGGCTATCATTCCTTTGCATTCAAGGGGCGAGGGTGAATGGCTATATAATTCATATCGGCGATTCTGTGCAATCTGATTTAGTGATTTTGGCTTCAACAAACAGGTACTCGTGCAGACAAGAAAGGAAATGCATACAGTTGTGAATTGTCGTATAATTCTTTACTGTTGATCCCAAACAATTTTGTACATGTACGTTAACACTCCTTCCTACTTTGTGTTGAATATAAACGATGATAACCTTTTTAAAAAAATCTAGAGCACTATGTCTATAAACCGTTTTAGAATCAATAGAATGGGCATTCAATGTCTATTTGGCTAGTGTCCAAATATGTAACGTTTGCTGTAGGACCAACAAGGCGTAGCGCCTACGACCTACACACTCGCTTTTGAGACCTCTATTTAACAAAATTTATACCGTTTCCATATGACAACAATTCAATGGCACATTATAAGAATATTATACGTATCTGAGCCAGATACAGAAACGTACGCGTGAAATGAAATTGCGCCCTAACCCCGCCGAGACAATAAAAGGGCAAATATTTCCAAGCATATACGATCATACGTTTTCGTTGCATGATTTTCTGACTTGTTTGTTGCTATAAGAATCTACAGTTTAGCATGTTTGTATAATTTAAAAGCAAACAGAAACCAATTTAGCAAGTATTTTGAAGTATATATGATTCTCAAAGATGATTGTATAGAACGGTCACTCCTTGCAATCGAAGTGTGAGGTGCGGAAGTGGAAACATGTAATTTGATACTTTTCCATCCCCCTCTTAGGTTATCAATTTTCTATGGGTCACGTGACCAGCCCCGACCAGGGTCTTTGCTTCCCAAGAGCAAAGAGCCTGGGAACGAGGTTGCAAAGAGCCTGGGAACGAGGTTGATTCTGTGATAGGGCCTGAACTTCAGGTTATTCGAGACCGCGCCTTTCAAGAGATGTTTTTGACCCTGTTTTGAAATATAAACAAGTAGGCGGAGCTCAATCAAACACGCCAGGGCGCTGTAAAACACGGGCGGTGAAACGGCTATGGCGCCCCTGATCTATGTGTGATGCAGGTCCCCCCGCATATTTTCATTTTTATTCGAATTCGATGTGGTTTGATCAGGCATGCATGTTTGCTTTGACTTCTTTTTAAAATTACTACGTAAAAAGGTACAATTCAACTGAATTCAAAATGGATTTGGGATCTGTGCTATTACTATAGCGCGGAAAGTTTTTAACTTTTAAATATTTCATGCACAATATATGAAAACTAGCTTTATTTTGATGTTTTTGGATAATTTAGGTACCTAATTTTCTGAAAATCACCAAATGATAATGGGCTTTTTTAACTTTTAAACATTTTTTTGCCCTTATTTTTGACATGTGCATGCCAAACCTATGCAAGCGATAGTTTGTTGTCGCAGGTTTACAAGCGCGGAAAATTTTTAACTTTTAAATATTTTATGCACAATATATGAAAACTAGCCTTATTTTGATGTTTTTGGATAATTTAGGTACCTAATTTTCTGAAAATCACCAAATGATAATGGGCTTTTTTAACTTTTAAACATTTTTTTGCCCTTATTTTTGACATGTGCATGCCAAACCTATATGCAAGCGATAGTTTGTTGTCGCAGTTTTACAAGCGCGGAAAATTTTTAACTTTTAAATATTTCATGCACAACATATGAAACCTATTTTTATTTTGATGTTTTTGTATAATTTAAATACGAAATTTTCTAAAAATCACCAAATGAAAATGGGCTTTTTTAATTTTTAAACATTTTTTTGGCCTTATTCAGTTTGACATGTGCATGCCGAAATCTACACATGGAATAGCATTGCCTTCCACTTCGCGTTTTAAATCTGACACTCTATGAAACAAGCTGGAAAAAAGTATGTTTAAACAAAAAAGCCCATTCCCATTTGATGATTTTCAGAAAATTAGGTACTTAAATTATACAAAAACATCAAAATAAAACTACTTTTCATATATTGTGCATGAAATATTTAAAAGTTAAAAATTTTCCGCGCTTGTAAAACTGCGACAACAAACTATCGCTTGCTTGTATTCTCATATGGCATTGTGTAGATTTGGCATGCACATGTTAAAAATAAGCGCAAAAAAATGTTTAAAAATTTAAAAAGCTCATTCTCATTTGATGATTTTCAGAAAATTAGGTACTTAAATTATTCAAAAACATCAAAATAAAACTACTTTTCATATATTGTGCATGAAATATTTAAAAGTTAAAAATTTTCCGCGCTTGTAAAACTGCGACAACAAACTATCGCTTGCTTGTATTCCATATGGCATTGTGTAGATTTTGGCATGTGCATGTCAAAAATAAAGGCAAAAAAATGTTTAAAAATTAAAAAAGCCCATTATCATTTGGTGATTGGCAAAAAATTAGGTACTTGAATTATCCAAAAACATAAAAATGAAGCTAGTTTTCATATATTGTGCATGAAATATTTAAAGGTAAAAAATTTTCCGCGCTTGTAAAACTGCGACAACAAACTATCGCTTGCATAGGTTTGGCATGCACATGTCAAAAATAAGCCAAAAAAATGTTTAAAAATTAAAAAAGCCCATTATCATTTGATGATTTTCAGAAAATTACGTACTTAAATTATCCAAAAACATCAAAATAAAGCTAGTTTTCATATGTTGTGCATGAAATATTTAAAAGTTAAAAATTTTCCGCGCTTGTAAAACTGCGACAACAAACTACATCGCTTGCTTGTATTCCATATGGCATTGTGTAGATTTTGGCATGCACATGTCAAAAATAAGCCAAAAAAATGTTTAAAAATTAAAAAAGCCCATTATCATTTAGTGATTTTTAGAAAATTAGGTACTTAAATTATCCAAAAACATCAAAATAAAGCTAGTTTTCATATACTGTGCATGAAATATTTAAAGGTCAAAAATTTTCCGCGCTTGTAAAACTGCGACATCGCTGTGAACATGCAATTTGGAGTCTTTTGGCGGATCGGATTTCAGTTGCATATTGTAAGTTCGAAAAGAGAAATAAAACAACCTTTAACATGGTAAAACGGAATTTTTTGCTTGTTCCTTATAATTGAATATTTTCCCTAACTTTTATATTGCATTTGAATGCCTGAATATGTTAATAAAAATGTTTCCAATGCTTTCTAAAATGACAATTGTTTTCTAACTTTATCAAAACAAGGTCACAAGTTGTGTCATTGTAAATTACGCAAGTGACCCGGTCATAAATCTTTAAATTGAAAAAAAAGCCCACAAAAGCCCATTTTCTAACCTTTTCAGGTCGAAAGTATAACTAATTATAGATAATTTAAAGGGTTGAAGTTAACTTTTTTTCCACTCGGTCTGGCTAAAAAACTCGACTACAATTTGCCATTGCCTGAAAAATGTAAATATATTTTATGATAAAATCGCTATGCCTTCAAATAATTTCACATTTAAAAAATGCTTTTCCAACTCCAGCGATGTAATTTGCAATACTAATTAATTGCCAGAGTCTCTATTTTATAACAAGTTAATTTTTTTCCATTTTAAGGATAAATTTACCTTAAAAATTTGCACTTTTTGGTTGCCCTTTAAATATTTTTGTCTCTTGTTTTTGCTTCGCTTCATCTTTAAAAATCCCGCTTCATCCGCGCATTTCGCACGCTCGCGCCAGTCTCCCGTGCATCACACATGGATCAGGCAAATATTAGCGCGTTTCACCGCCCGTGTTTTACTACGCCCTGAACACGCTTGACAATTAGCGACAATTAGTTAAAGCGGCAATCCCTCAGTGGCAGACTGTTTCATTATGGCGCGTGAAGTTCATCACGCGAAAAACGCGTTCG